TATTGATGAGGCGTGATGCGCGGCGTGCTGTCGTGTCGGGCGGCGCGGGCGCCGATTGGCCGAGCGTGGGTGTGCGCGGTGACGCGCGTCGCGGCGGTGCGGGTCCCGATTGCTGCAGCCGCTTGTCAGTGTGACGAAGATTGGCACCCAGGTAAGCGCTGTCACTCAAACCCGCTCCCAGCCAGCCAGCCCGCCAGCCATCCATCACGGCGCACCCGCCGCCGCCGCCCGCCGGGCCCAGCCACTCCGCCGCCGCGCCGCGGGGCGGGGGAGATTGGGGGGACAGCGGGCCCGGCAGACGGCACGGCGGGGAGGGGGCGCCCGCATCGCCGCTCGCCCCGAGGGTGGTCAGGGGCGGCGGCGGCGGGCAGGCGCGGGCGGGAGGGAAGGAGGGAGGGAGGGGGGAGCGAGGAAGTTTCTGGAAACGCCGCCGCTGCCGCTACGGCCGTTGTGTGGCTGCGGCGGGGGCGCGCCGACGGGGGCGCGCGAGGGCCGGGCGCGCGCAGGGAGGGGAGAGGCGGGGGCGGGCGGGGGGGCGCGCGGCGGGGGGCGGAGGAGGAGGGGGAGGAGGGAAGGGGGAGGCGGTGGCGGCGGCGGGGTCCTTAAAGGGGCAGCACCGCGCGGGCGCCTAGGGAGAGGCGGCGGTGGCAGTAGCTGCAGCGCGCAGCTCCGGCCGCGGGGCGCCCTCCGCTCTCCGTGAGCGATGGCGGGAGCGGTGCGGAGCCCTCGTGGTGTCCGTCCGTCCGTCGGGCCCTTGACAGTCAGGCCCCGTGGTGTCTCCGTGGTGCCCGTGTGGAGCTCCTTGCCTCTTCTAGTATTTCTCTGGCGTCTGACGCGGGCATCGGGGGTGCGGGATGGCAGTCAGGTGCCGGGCCTGCCCCGCTGTGCCGGGCTTTGTGCTTCCACGCAGATGCAGTGTGCGCCCATACAGTAATGCGGCTCCTGCAGCCGGGTGCTGTGCACGTGTTCTGCGGGTTATGCAGCCCAGGAAACCGATGGAGGCTGTGTCAGTAACGGTATGGCCAGGCCTTGCCAGCGCTGGAGTATCAAGCAGCGAGAAATGCAGCGAGTGCTGTTTTCTAAATGACTGTAAAACCAAATGGCACAATTATCCTTTTCTGGGTTTGTGTGTAACCATATATAGTCATTAAGTTTATTCCGTCTGAAGACTCGGTTTTCACTCTTCTTGGTATGTCGTTGTTTTTATTCTGGGAGTTATTCTGGATTTCTTCAAATGTGCCCTATTGGTTTGTTCTATATAGTGTGTGGTGTGTTTTCTCAGCAGACTGCTTACTGCTCTGCATCTTTCTGTGGTATTTTATGATGAAAATAACCCCGTGAAAGCTTCAGTGTAGGTTTCACACTGCTTTCCTCACATAAGCTTCAGTTCAGTAAATGGTGGATGGAATGGCTCTGTCATAGCCTACAGCTCCTCACAGGGAGCGGAGGAGCAGCGCTGAGCTCTGCTCTGTGTGACAGCGACAGGGCCCGAGGGAACGGCATGGAGCTGCGTCAGGGGAGGGCAGCTGGGGGTCAGGGAAAGGCGCTGCACCACAGGGCGGTGGGCACAGCTCCCGGTGCTGGAGTCCACAGGGCATACACACTCTCATTCCTGGTCTGATTTTTGTTGGTGTTGTGTGGAACCTGAAGTTGGACTCTATGATCCTTGTGGGTCCCTTCCAGCTTGAGATATTCTGTAATGTTCTTTGTTGGGTATAGTAGGGGATGGTGCACTGCACTGAGGCTTGGAAGTCTCTTTCTCTTCATTCTCACTGAAGTGATTTTGGGACATTTGTTTTCAGTCAATGGCAGTGTATCCTTGCCTGCATACATTTTCATAAATGTTCCTCCTTCAGGGTGGGTCTCATAGAGTGCTGTGCTGGACAATCATTTGTCTTGTTACCGTTTCCTTTGTGCTAAGGGCAAAACAGAACTCCTTACATTTTGTGTAACTGTTACGGTTGCTTTATTCTTGTGCATTTATGTGTGTATGTACACACACACATATATACAAACTTCACTTTGTCATTACTAACTACAATTGCTGCTGCAGCAAATGTGGAAGTGTTTGAGACGCAGCTCAGTTCTTGGAGGAGCGTGACTCTCTTGCTGTTATTGAGACACACGCTGAAAGCCAGGAGTGAACGATCCACAGAGCTTATGGCAGTGAGATGTCCCAAATAGAGAGAGGTGCGGCCCAAGCTGTATTTCAGAATATTGTGTAATGCTGTGAGAGCCGAATGCCACTTCTGCAATACCAGCGCACGTGGAAGTTTGCAATAAAGCAGATGAGTATTTTGATGTAAGATTGGGTCATTTTTGGTGTGTGAAATTTAAAATTCCACGGATGTGGTTTCTCTCTCTCGCAGCAGCTGGTTGCTTCAGCCGTGCTTGTTACAAGGCTGTAGGCTAACAAATGCGAAGTCTCATGGGAGGTTGTTTTACCACAGCTCAGCGCTGTACAAAATGTAAAACAACGTATTGCTCTTCTAAGCAGGGGAGTCCAGGAGCAAGAAGAAAGCTGCGAATGGAGTGCCTTCCTTGGCTTGCTTGCTGCCAGATGTTACCCAAGTATTTTATCCTGTCCATTACAGCTCTCCATCAGATAATCAGATGCTAAAGGATGCGTGTTTGTTGGCTGATTCTTCTCTAAGGCTGTTTCGTATCATAGCTTTGTAACATTGCAGTCACAAATAGAGCTGGAAATAGGGTAGAAAACAGACAGCAGGAGTCTGGAAATATCAGTCTTTTTGGTACTGGTGCATTACTGTTTATCGAGATAATAAAGGGGGATAACTTGGTTTCCTTCCTTGTCTTCGCATAATTTCTTATCATCTGTGATGTGAATGTGCTTGGTTGTTCTTAACGCATGAACTACTCCAGGCTATAATCTCCTTTTTCTCCATATATATATATATATATATATATATAGAATGTGTAAAAAAGACTATTTAGTATTAAAGAGGGAGGCCATTTCAGTGCTTACACTAAAAGGGGATATTTTGAAAATGAGAGGCAAATAACCAAGATAATCATACCCTTAGCTGGGTGATTCACTGGGAATATGATGACTTTCTGCTGATGTACTGAAAGAGGAATACATTTTTTCTGTACCACTCAACTTTAATTTATATTGTACTTGGGAGCCCTTTGAATTCCATGCATTTTATTTTGGGTACGGAGGGAATACGGAAATCTGGCTATACTTCATATCCTGCTTAGTTTTTTTGAAGCAGCACAGCAAACAGAACAACGGAAAAGAGTATTACAGTACTTAGCACTGAAAAAAGTAAATTCCAAGTCTTTCATATTCAAAAGAAGCAGGTTTATAAGACTTAAATTGGAGCTTCATACATATTTAACATGCCTAGAGAATGGCGAAATGTATGTGCTGTGTTGTATGGTTACATAGAATCACTAAGGTAGGGAAAGACCTCAGAAATAACCCAGTCCAACCATCAGCCCTCACCATGCCCACCAACCATGGCCTTCAGTGCCACATCCATGTGGCTCTTGGACACCTCCAGGGACAGTGACTCCACCAGATCCCTGAGCAGTCTGTGCTTCTGCCTCACTGCTCTGAGAAGAATTTTTTCCAAATATCCAACCTCTCCTGTGCAACTTGAGGCCATTCCCTCTCATCCTGTTATTATTACCTGGGAGAAAAAGCTGACCCCCACTTTGCCCCTCCTTTTGGGAGGTTATAGAGAGCAATAAGATCTCTTCTGAGCCTCCTGCTCTCTGGACTGAAGAACTTTATAACTAAGGAACTACCCAATCTGTCTATGATCACATAGTTCACGTATTCTGGCCCACTGGGTGTTTGTGGGTCATGGCACAAGCAATGTCAGCAATAGATCTATCCTGTGTTGTTTTTTGTTTTTTCTTAATTTTCTTTTAAGTTGTTGTTTTCAATAGCTTATTTCTTAGTCATACTGAAATTTGCCATTATGAGTATGTTTGAGTTATTCCGGAAAGCTTAGGCTAAAATGAATTGGCATTTTGAAAAAGACATTGGGAGAAAGTAAATGTGTTAATGAAAACAGGAGGATAAGTGCTTTTTTGGCTTATTTAAAAGCAACTCAGCACTTGGGTTCTAAAACTTATAACAGCAGAGGAAGGGGAAAGGGAGTGTACACACTGACATAGCACATATGGCTGCACCTAGAGAAACTTATATCAGATTACAAGCTCTTGAAAAACTGGATCAAGTGTATAACTTGGCAAATGTTTATTAAATTGCTCTAATATTCCATATATCTTGAGTATCGCCCTGTCTGATGGTGGCTGCATGTCCCCTGACTGTGCAATCATCATCTGGACCAAGCAGTTAAGCATGATGACTCCTGCAGCATTAGGCAGTGGGTAAGTTTAATCCTGTGTAGCCTTTTTCGTTTGTGCTTCTTCCCCAGCCCCAGAGCATGTAGATGCAGTGGTACTGATGGAGAGGTGAAGACTGGTCTTTGGGGAGGGTGGGGAGCAGAGGCTGAAGCTTGGAAGGAATGCAGTAAGCCCAGGAGCCTGAAGAGATTCCAGATAGTCATAACTGGAGGGGATGAGAAGTCAGCGGGCAAGGAAGAAAAGTGAACAAGAAATAAGGGTGGTAGATGACTGGGGAGCCCAGGGGGCATGGATGGCAGAGCCAGGCTGCTCGTGTTCAACCAGATGTTGGAGTTAAAAAAAAAAAAAAAGTGGTGGAAAACTTGCTGGTCAATTGCAGCTGGGTTTGGCAGATACAGGACTGGGATTTCATGTAGCTTTAGTTTATTCAACTGGCCCAAGTCAGTGTTTCCTTGAAGGGCTCCAAAATCTATTGAAAACCGTTACTTACTGAGAGAGTGGTGAGGTGTTGGCACAGGCTGCCCAGAGAGGCTGTGGGTGTCCCATCCCTGGAAGTGTTTAAGGCCAGTTTGAATGGGGCCCTGGGCAATCTGATCTAGTACTTGTCCTAGTGACCTGCAGCCCTGCCTGTGGCAGGGGGGTTGGAAATTGATGGTCCTTGAGTTCCCTTCCACCCCAAGCCATTCTATGATTTCTGAAACCATTGAGGACATAAAAATAAAACCACTGATACTGGAACATTTTAATCTTAAGCGTTTAAATGTTCAAAAATGTATAGAGGGGTTTTTGCTTACATATTCAACATCTTAAGTCTGTTTTAATGGCAGTTATTAGTTTAATAAAACTTATCATCTTCCTTCAATTGTATGTCAGTATCGTTAAGGTTTGTCTGTCATGGAATCATTAGGAACTTTTAACAGTTTTGTGATATGAATGTTAGAAAACTTCCATGCCTATGAAATGACATCCTACATAAATATCTTGCTCACACTGTAAAGAATATTTAATAGAAATAAAGACATAGTAAGATTGGTGCTTATTTTGTGTCTTCTTTATGAAAATAAGAAATCATGATTAAATTAGAGGTTGTCAATGCTCTGGTTTAATTTAAAGGAGATGTTGCAGTGAGCTTCTCCAGAAGTAAGAGAGCCACCACAAGCTTGTGGGGATATTCCAGAGGCTGCAGTGGCGGAGATACAGGGCTGGGTGCAGCACATGGGCAGAGATGTTGTTCATTCACAGGGAGTGCTGAGGAAATGGGGAGGGTGGGCTTCTGCTTTATTAATAAAATTGTGTTTGAAAAAGTAATTAAGTATCATTAGGTAGGAAAGTTGTATCAGAATCAGTTCCAGCTGTATAACTGCTGATACACGCCCTCTGGTCTTCAAGGGTTCTTCAGTTGTCTTTCTAATGTGCTCCTCTTGGCACTACAGCAAGTCAGATACCATGCTATCATTTGGATAGTAGGAGTCTTAGATGTTATGATGACAGTTTATTTGGTATATCTTGAATGGAAAAATAATTCTCTGTCCTGTGATAAAAATAGACATATGTGAGGAATTCACGTGCTAGGATACATAAGCAAAGACCATGGAAGTCCTTCAGTTTGCACTGTTAAGAAGAAGAAATAGCAAAAGAGTCATCCTTTACTGTGTGGACAATTGGGAATGAATGAGAGTGATGGGGAGTATTTTTGCTTCCCTATGCTCTAATTCCTCAGGAGTCTCAGAGCAATTAGGGAAGGAAGCTTTCCTTTTCCTCACATTTTGTTTTCCTTTTATCAGAATTTCTAGTCCCCATAATTCTTTTCTACTGTATGGAGCTGATAAAGCAGCATCACATTGCAGTGTGAAATGGGTAAGAGAAACTGAGATGCTGCAGAAGTTTCTTGATTTGGAGAACCTTTTAACAGTTGGAAGAATGAGGTTTTATGCCTGTGAGGATTACCTTCTGCAATGCCAAGAGCTACCTGCAGCCAGGGTACCTAGCATGCTGAGGTGGCATCATTTTATGACTAGATTGGAATAGAATTCTTTCTTGTTGTTAAGAAGCATGACGGTAAATAGGCAATTACACAAGCCATGAACGTGAGCCATGATGATGTGTGCATCCCCAGAAATGTGCTGGTGCAAACCCAAAGGGTGTAGGCAGATTTAAGGAGCTGGAGTTCTTGACAAGACCCATCTGCTTTCACTGTTGTGCCTTGAGAAATGTGTATTGCCTTATACGTCCTTAGTATCTATTTTGTAAGTTACTGCGTATGCAATTGCAGCATGCAAAGTGGCACCATTTTTTATATATGTAATGGTTTTTTCGTATTTAGTACCAGCAAATAAGAGAATTTCCAGAATCCCTTTAAAACACAGAAAGCAGTGTGCTCAATGAGTGTGAACTGCTAAAGGGGCACACATCTTCTCATGAGATGGTCTGTTGTTCACAGTACAGTGTGACACTGTGGCCATGCTTGGAAGATAAAACCTGTGATACAAATATGTTGTATGCCTTCTTATCAAATGGAATGATATGAAAACAGGATGCTGTGGAGAAGTAATGGAACAACAAAGCAGTACATACAGCACTGAAGATATCTTGCTGAATAAAGCCCATATCTTATAGAACTGTAGAATCATTAAGGTTGGAGGAGACCGCTGAGATCATCTAGTCCAAATGTCGACCCATCACCACCAGTATATACATCCAAGATTCAGTGTGCAAATAAAGGTTAATGGTAGATTGAAGCCTCAATTTCTGGAAAAAAAAAAAATCACCTTAGCAGTGGATTTTGATTTTATTTTAATTTTCAGTTTCTTAAAGTGTACGGTGCACTCTTCTTAAAATTTCATCTCATCTTCATCCAGATTAATATATAAATAACTTTATTGTATCACCAAACAATAAAGGGAAAAAAGTGACACAAAGTAAATCTCATTTTACTGCAGCAGAAAATTGGTTTTGTGGCTTTTTTTAGGGCTCTTCTCCCAAAGAAATTGACAACATAGCTGTTGTGTAATAATCGTTGAGCTGTATTTGTGTAGTGTAACTCCCCGAGGCAGGTATTATACTCCTGAACAGGAACATAATCTTTCTAAAAGTACAATATTTCTAAATAATGGCTGTACTTTGTACGTACAGAAGATAGAGGAAATGAAAGTCACCTCGCTGCTGAGTAAGGACTGCATTCTCATGGAGTGCGTTTTTAATAAACCTGTGTGCATCAACTTCACATTGATTTGTTTGTCTTAATTTTACTTAACGTCTCTTTGTAGGCAGGTCGATGGAGATAAGTAACAACTGCAGCAAAGGTAGAATGAAGCCCTGCTGGCAAGTTGTCATATGTACTCTGTGTTTTACTTTGTCATTTTTATTTGAATCTGTAATCACATACATGTATATATACATACCCTTTATGTATGCTGATGTTTGTAGATCTGAATGTATGCACAGGTCTTTGTTTCTTACTGGCTGGCATGCAAAGTGAGAGCTGCTGAATGCAGGGCTCATTTATGCTTGAATGAACAAGGTTGTATTTTACTTCATAATAAAAACCTAAGCCTTTAAGTGACAAAACAAGTGGCCATTTGTTCTGGTTTCATAGTTAACTGTCGTCTTTATATTGATAACATGATTTTAAAGCTGGTCTGCAAGAAGTATAAAAATGAAAAAACAAACGGATAACAGTAAAGTGCAGGCTCCACAATGCCTTGTTGTTGTCTCCATCCTTTAACAGGTGAGCTGCACCCTGTTCTTGCCTCCTCTGAGGTATGTGGGAGGACAAAACATGCAAGTTCAGATCTCTATCATTTTCTTCTCTCATATGTTTCGGAGTAGGCTTTGTAGTTGTAATTGCTCTCAGTTGTCTTTTGGAAGAAAGCAACATGACTGCAATGTCCTCTCACTCCTCTGCCCAACCTTTTCTTGGCATCTTTCACCTGGGCTGCATTTCTTCAGTACTTCCTCCATTCTGCCCTTGATGTCTCATACACGAGGTCTTGCAGCTTGCCTGTTTCTGGAGTTTCGGGAAAGGCTTTGGAAGCAAGGACTGCTTTCTTCTTTTTACGTCATATTTTTTGAGTGATTAGATCTGTCAACCAAGATACTACGGGTTCTTTGCTGCAGCTGTTTCTGGATGAAAGAAACAGGCTCTTCAGATTTGTGATGGTAAAGTAGACCCTTTAGACACAAAAAAATGGATAATCCCCATTTATTTGGCAGTGACCTATGTTCAGAAGATTCTGCAGAGTGGGAAATGACTTTTTGCAAGTAGCTCAGTAAGCTGAGAAAAGTGAAAAGGAGTACCAGAATTACAGAAGGTGAATAGTGTGTGAAGAAGGGAATAAGACAAAAATGAGAGAAATTTCTTCTTGGGGTACACAGGTCTTGGACAGCTGAGGACAGAGAGCCCTTCAAGGCTTCATGAACAGGCATATCATTGTAGGCTGGGACTCCTAACTCAGTATTTCATCTCTTACCAGTGACTAAATGATATAATGCCTCACTGCTTCCTAGAGTATCTTCTCAGCTCTTTCAGAGCTGGTTTTCATAAACTGTGGATGGTGTCTGTATTGACTGGCCCTTAGCATTTTGTGTGTCTGTGAACTGACCTGGAAAACTGTACATATGCACTATACACGGATAAATGTTGGTTCAGAAATGTAGATACCAACTTCATCTCACTTTCAGAAATGTTGGAGTTACTTTCGTTTCAGCTCTTACGCACTCAGCAGAACTGGGAACACGAGTACTTTTTTCTGTGTGGGAAACAAAGATAATCTGGTGTAAGAGCCAAACTGTGCTGTAGCCATCATTTCAGATGGCCTTTGCACAAGGTTAGCATCAGTAACCTCTGGTGAGAGTTTTGTAGGCATTCTGTAATACTTTTCAGTTAAATATTTTTATAATCTTTGCTACTTTGCTTTCTTCTTCAAGTCTTCTAAAGTAGCTTTAATGTATCAAACAAGTGCTGTGAAATTAAATAAAATTAACTGTAAATGGTAATTTTTGTGAAGTTTCTTTAAAATTGCTGAATAAATCTGTAGCAGAACCCGCCTTCTCTAAACATTCAGTACCAATGATGGCACACACTCCTTGGTATGCTGCTAGTGTTTATCATGTAGAAGATTACTTGATTATAGCCACCGCTGGAATACATTCCACAATCAAGTAAAAGTGTGATTATGAAAGAGATTTAAATTGGGAAATGAAAAGTCTTTGCCCTTTCTTGGCTTCATGCTGAATTTTGATGCAGAAGGACTTCCCTGAAAACTCGGAGCTGAGTTGTTCCTATTAGTTTTATTTGGGGATGTGTCTTGTCTCATCTAAGCAGAGAGTAAAGTATAAAGACTCAACAGCAAGCAAGTCAACTGTAGCCTTCTGTATTTTCTTTAATCATCTTCAGTCTCAGAAAGTGTGCTGTATGTTGTTGTCTCTGAATCTTTTTCTGTTGGTTCCCAGGTTTCTGTTGTGCACCTGGTACATCAGTGGGACTCACTCTGCTGGAATGAGATAATGGTGTCCTCAACCCACTGAAGGAGAAGGGTGAGCAGCTTTCTCCCGGCTTATATTTGACTTAGCCATGCATCATGGGAGCTATATAATTACATATTTTGATGACAAGTGAAGCAGGTTCTAGGTGCTTTTCATATGTCAAGCAAACTCCGTGTTTTAATTTTGTTTCTGTTGAATTTTGTTGGATGTTAGCTGCAAGAATGTCGTATTGTACCTGCTGCCTGAAGTTAAGAATAAACCAATAAATAGCCATACAGAATCTGCCAGTCCCCTTTTCTCTCTGAAGTACTTCAAAAGAACGTGTGTAGTGGAAAATTAAAAGGAACAATTACGTGTTAACAGGTTGGTTGGGTAGTTTCTTCACAACCCTAAGACAGTTAGTGGTTGGCTTATACCCTGAAGCATAACTATTTATATCTCTTACAAACATCTGTTGTAGCTTGTATATGTTAAAAACGATATTACTGAGCTCCAACAGCTTACTTGCACCTTATGTTAACATTTTCTGGGTGGTCCCTGCGCTCTTAGTTATGAAGGAATAAGTAGAGCAAGTGAGGAGAGATGGGCACTTTGTCTGAAGTGTTTCAGTTCACCTTTGAGCTTTTTTCTTAGATATACTCCCTAATTTGCACAAGGTCTGCATACTTCTAATTATTATCACCCCTCTTAATTTAGCTTCCTTTCTAGCTTATGTTTTACCTCCATACTCATTTCTGTTAAAGGCTTGAATTTTTTTTCACTTTTGTAGAATACAGTTGTTTTGCAAATTCCCTTTCACCACAGATGTCAGTGGCATTTCTGATTGCAGTTCATGTGTCAGCCTCCAGTTTACATGACCTTAAGTTTTTCCTTGGGTTTTCCTCACACTTTGTTCTCAAAATAAATAAAACGAGAGTTAATAGTGTTCACCATGAAGCAGTCTGGCAGACCCCTCTTGGCCACCAGTTATTTTTGTTATTTGTAACTCTTTGAATATAACACAACTACGCTGTTTTCCTTCTACTCTCAATTTCCTTAACAAAGAATAACTGGAATTTTTAAAGCTAATTTGTCCAGAAGTCACGTGTGCTTAGGCCCCGTTCAGATACCTTAGGCCATGTAGCATTAGGTATAGCTGTGCTGGTTAAAGATGGTCCTGCTGTGAGTTGATAACCACCACACTTGAACCAGAAATTACCACACTAATAGGTCAGCGAGAGCAGGGGTTGTGTGAGTGCACAGTAACGTGTCTCAGACAAAATCGGCTGGTTTGCATTATAGCCACCTTTAAAAGAGAGTTGAATTAGCCTGACTAACTTTATGTAGAAGGGATCAGAAGTCATTCACATGTTGGTAAGCTCAGGGTAGGGCTGTGGAAATAATTAGCTCTGGCAGGGTGGCAGTGATAAACATCTGGGAGTGATACCAGCTTCATCTAGCATCACTGTTTGCAGAATGAACATCTGCTTAAGCTGTGTATCTGCTAACTGGGACTGGATGCTGTATCCTAAATTAGCTTATAAAAGCCAAATGTGTAAATACCTTTAAAGTTATTTTTCTTGAAGTCTAATGTAGTTTGTTTCTAACCACTACTGGATAATGAGATGTTTCTCTTTAGCGAACTCAAATAATTCCTCAGTTAATTGCCTCAATTTAAGTGTGTCATTAGCTCAATTTGTTCTTCTTGATTTGCAGTAGTTTTCTTCACTGAATCTCATCAGTTTCTATCTTGCCTAATAGCTTAATCTTCCACTACTGTAATTATAAGTCAGAGGGGAAGCTCTTATGGGAAATAACAAATCTACCCATGCAGAATCCTTTCTAGCTATTCCATGGGGAGAGAATGGGGCTAAAGCCTTTTTTGGTGAGATTATCTATGGATCTGGCTCAAAGCTGCGCGTCCCTTTTTTTTTCCCCTTCATTTGGCCTAAGGGATTTCTTAGTGTGGAATGTCTTTTCCTTATGGAAATGTGGAAGGGTCAGTCTAGAAATTCTTATCATATCCTATAGTCTTCACCAGTTTGAATGTGTTATCTTGGTTACTTCCGTTTTCATGTTGTTATTTGTGTCACTGATATTATCTCACGTCTTTGCTAACTCTACCGCATTTCAAAGGTACTTTTCTTAAAGTATTTTACCTTATTTCATCATTTCTAAGAGATTATCTGTCTCCCATAGCCAAACAATTTATTTAGTGACATTTTGCAAGATTCTTCAACTTGTAAAATAATCTTGAAATAGTGGTTACTTTTTGTAGATTGATGAGTGTGATCTGTTTGAACGTTTTGATGTCGATGGTAGCCTTGTTTCTGCTTCTAGTATCACAGTCAGTAATGAAATGTGCTCCTTTAGGGAAAGAAGACTAGGACTTTGTGCCTTTTGACTCTGTCAATACAGTCAGTCATCAATACTGTGGCTGTAAGCTATTCTGAAAAACTAAATGTTTAAACACAAGGTAAATGCTCACAGCACTTATATTTTAGAATATGTTCCCTTAAAGTTCTTTTGGAAAGGCATCAACATTTAGGTATCTGATTCAACTTTAATGTTGAATGATTCATAGCCATAAAAAAGCAATTCCAAAGTATTTCTATCAGTGAGTGTGTTCAAGTCTTGCCCATTTTTTTTTTTTCTTTTGATGAGGAATTAATATTGTTTTCCGAGTTTCAAAGTAATAGATATTGTTGTCCTATGAAGACTGAAAGCTCAGGTGAGATGTAAGTTATAAAACTAAGTAAATGTAGCATGAAATTTGAAGTGTTTCTTGTTTTCTTTGGCTCTACAGTGTAATAGTAAAGGGCTAAGTAACATTCATGTCATTTGATGTTTAGGTTAGAAATATAAAAAGAACTCAAGGGTTTTTGTTTGCTTCTTTGGTCGGTTGTGGTTTTTTTGTTTGGTGGTTTTGGTTTTTTTGTGGTGGTAATTTGTTATGCTTTTGGGTTTTTTAATCTGAATCTCAAAATAATAAGTGATGGCTCGTTTAAGAATGTCTCTGTTCTTTGCAATCCTTTATTTCCTCTTTTATTGGATTGTTTTTTTTCAGTGCTGTGTTTACATAAAGTACCAACATTTTTTCTGCCTTCTGCTTTGAAAAGGAATAGTATACGAGGAGGAAATGTTGATTTACTTTTCCTTTTTTGTCTGGAGCCTTCTTTGTGATTGGCCTTCTCATTGTTTAATTGTTAGTATTAATGCCAGCTATGTGAAAGCTGGAAGTAGAGTACAGCTTGTGTAGTTGCATATGAGTAATTATCACCTGCCTATGCAATAGCAGAAGTTCAAATTTTAGCACTGCACATACAGTCTTATTTATGAATATGAAATACTATTAATAAGAACTCATGTGATGTAAATAATTGTACAATATGTTGTATTGCTAAGCTAAAGCACAGAGTAGTATTTGAGAAAGTAGATTAGTGCATTATTAAAATGGTAAGGTATTTTGTAATGTGGGTTTAGCTAATAAAAAGTAGATTTGAAGTTCTTCTTAAGTTATTCCTTGTATAATGTTTCATGTTTTGGAAAGCAAATACGGAAGGGAGGAAGCTGTAAGTCAAATAGTTGGAAAAGAGCATTGCATATTAAAGATAGAAGAGCAACTGTTGCTAGAAAATGCAAGAAAGATCATCCAGTTGCTTGGGTGAGTTAAAAGGAGCTTTGTAACTCAAAAATGTAAGATTATGATGTCTCTTCCTTGATGTGATGTGTGTTGAACCCTCTGCCACCCAAAAGCAAATGGTGGGGGGATGATACTGGTAGGCTGTTGTATTAGTCTAAAGAGAAAGTTTGTTTTCATAATACTTTGACTAAAATCCAAAGAAGTATTCTTCGTGTTAGTATCAAAGTGAAGTCAGGGGTTACAGGGGTTGGAGATTTTATTCTATTGATGGTCCTTCATTCTTTATTAGTGATACAGCTAAGTATTTGTCATAAGAAAACACAATAAAGCTGTACAAGAGAAAGTTAGTTCTCCAGCACTATTTGTGTAAACAAAACGTAAAAGAAGTAGAGGATTAATGTTTTGGCTGGAGGTGCTTTACTTCACACGTTAAACCCATATTTTTGGTGTATGCTAAAAATACACTCAAACATCAGCATGTTAGGATGTTGCTGTGAGAGGTTTCTGGCTCGTAGTTGTACAACTTTGCTGTGTGAACCAAAACTCTTCAGAAAATCTCGCTCCTACCAGATGCTTGCTGCCACCAAACCAGCAAACACTTGCATTACAGCTACCAGAAAAATAAAATCAGTCTTTACTCTTTTTTTCTGTCATCTTTATTCTTAAGAATAACTGTAGCACAGTTGTAGTGCGTCTCTTCCCATTCCGCAAGCTGCTGAAGATGGTGTGCACGTGCTGTCTGCAGATGGAAACGTATGCAGCTACACCGTGACCCAGAGCCAGGAGTACCTCAGGTGGCACGGGCCGCCACAGGGCAGCTGTGGGACTTGAGCCATAGTGAGTGAATTTATATCCAAGTTTGGATAGGGAGTCGTGCCTACTGGATTGTGATAAGCTCCTCTGGTCTTCAGAGCTGGTTTTTAATGAGTAAATAATCAAATAAATTCCACTTTGAGTAGAACTTGGTTGAGTAGAACTTGGCGCAAAGTAAGGATGGAGGTTTGTCCTGAGGAGTTACGATCCATCTCTCTGCCTGAAACTGTGAAGTAAATGAGGAAGGGAATTCCCAAACTTGCCCTGTGTTTCTAAATTAAACCCTTGTGACTGTACTTGTGACTGTTGTGATCTACAGGGAAAAATATCTGAAACTGTAGAAACTACTCTTCAAAATGGTTGTATATTTTAGTACTGTGCCAAGGTGAAGGAAAGATTTGAAAACAGTTGAAAAATTTGTAGTCATTGGACCTATTACAAAGAAGAGAGTTTTCATTTCAGATCTTAAGATGGTGAAAATTCTTATATCTCATTCTTCGATACTGAGATTAGTAGAAGAGAGCACAAAAACTGGAAGGAGTACCTGTATGTAATCTTCTTCAAGACATGAGCTCTGTTTTTGTTTATTTCCTCTCTAATATCAATATTTTTATACTGGCTAACCATTAGGACTCCTACAGGTCAAGGAAAATGGAGTTCCGTGGTGACATTTAGTGTTAATGCCTTCTTGGATTTTGTGATTTTTATTGTAGTGCCTGCTAATTTGACAAGGAAGTGAAAAGTAAAACTAATAGTTTGACGGATAACTCTGTCTGGTGTTGATGATATACTAAACATTGTCTTTTTTTAATGTTTGAACTCCTCTGCGCAGCAGACTCCAAGTAATGCTTGAAGAGAATGCCAGACATGAATTGATTTGTGTCATAAGTCACATGGAAATGAATGTTTCCCAAAGTATTGAATGACAGAGAAAATGATACTTCTGAATTCTGAAGTCCCTTTTGAAAATATGTCATTTCATAGGCCCAATTGTTTAAAAATAGTTAGAATTTGCTCTAATCTTTGCTGGGCCTTGCTTAACTTCAGTAGGAGATTCCTTACTTCAGAAGTGCCTTCAGATATAGGCTTCTAATAGAAATTTCAGGCTCTAATTTTAGAATATAAGATTCATGCTTGTAAGTAAATTGCTGTTGCTTAACACTTTCTACGTTTGATCCATCAGTTGTAGTCTCTTTGTGGTTTTGGTTACAGGAATGTTCAATGTGTCGTTGGTCTTTTGAGAACAAAGAAGCAAATCTTTGTTCTTTTCCACATTTTATGCATAACCTTAGAATTAGTTAAGTACTGCAGAAATAAATGCTAGTTTTTACCTGAAGTTTATGGATGAAATCCTGTTACATCCATCTTATTGACAATGTGATGTTAAAATACAAAATGTTTCCATGTTTCATGCTGAAGTTTGTGGTTTTCCACATGGAATTTTGTTGAGAAAATGCACATAGCTTTTATTGTCGATAAGCTTGCTGATTGTTTCAGTATTACAGCTCCATCCATTTTCATCTTTTGCAATTGATTTCTAAACGGGCACTTCTGTAACACTATTTTTTTCTTCTTTTTTAGAGTATTTGTTCGCACTGATGATGATTTGATGCAATTAACATTTTCTTAACCATGATGGCAACACAGACATTAAGTATAGACAACTATCAAGATGGACAACCAGTAAGATTGTTTTTCTTTATGAACTGACACAGTTGGCAAGAGAAAGAAGTTGTGACTTCAATGCCTGTGTTGGCATTACTATTTTTGTTTGTAAAATAAAGTATTTGAAGTGAGGAGCTAATATTCTGTAATACTTTTAAACGTTTGATAAAGACTTAGTTAATCTTTGTGTGACTTTGCTTCATTTCTGGCAGAATGGTTAGATAAGAGATTTTATTCTGATTCTGCTCTACATGATTTGTGTGCTTCATGTTCTTGCTTTTAGGAAAGGCAAATTGGGTATCCTTAACATTTTGCGTTCATGATTCTTTGGTGTTCTTTCATGTCTGCAATTACAGTAGCCAGCTGACATTTAGGCAGTTATAAACAACTTGGTTTCAAGGAATTAAATTTGGTTATCTAGAATTATACGCTAGTTTGAATTGAAGCAATTATGCTGGAGACTGGTAAGGAGGTTATTGATAAGAATGGATGGTTTGAAAGCTGATCAACGATACTCCAGTTTCTTATTTCTGTAAAGAGGCAGGTGAGGTAAATGAAGCATGGTGGGTTATGTTTAGTCATGATGTTTCTTTTTGTACAACAAGCAATGTATTGCAACAGTTTGAATTTCTAAACTGAAATACTGTTAGCTGGGAACAAGTCATGCCATTGGCCTGTAACCTGATGACCCATCTTTATGTTACTGTGTGTCAGCCATAAGCAGTAAATACAAGTACTTCTGTCAGCAGATGGCAACAGTGATGAACAGAAGAAAAAAATGGCAACTTTTTCCATTTTATAGAAGATAAAAATGTTTATCTGAATGCGGTCTTGTGTTATTGTTTTTGTTGTTGTTATGTGCTGCTTTTATTGCAGTTCTAATTTCTCTTTCCTCTCGCCTGCCTTACCACTTTCACTTTATTCCCTCAGCAAATACAGGCCACCCTTGACACTTCGGTGAAAGTAATACATATTTTTGTAAAGAACAGATTGGTTGTTTTCTTTTGATTTAAGCTCTCAGTGACCATATAAGCAAGTAATTTTGATGCCTACTTATTTTGTAGCATTTAAATGACCCACAGAAAATAGTTCTCAGTTTGAAGTGAGCTATTTCCTCCTCCTAGCAAGACAGAGCCCTCGCTGAGCATAATCTCCAACTTCAAACTCTGCAAATATGTGGTGGTTCAACACTTATAATCACTTATATGAGTCACCCCCTTCCGTTTTGCTCCTTCCCCTTGTCATTAGCCAAGAAATTAGTTCATTAATTGCATCATTTTTTTGCAAGCATTCTGGCTCTAAGATCACCTGTGCTTGCTGAGGAAGCTTTTTACAAGGCAGGATGCTGTCTTGGGTTCGATACTCTGTTGCTTTCTCAGTTTCCTATTTTTCTTGAAGGTGGGTGGCCCTAACAGGTAATAAAGCATAAACCCTTCTGTTCGTTCAGACCCTTGCTGGAGGTAGTGTAAACGCCTTTTGCTTCTGTCATGTGCAGATAAAGTTTCACTGGAACCCTCTCAGGGAAGAGAATTGCACTCTGTTTATACCTGGAGATGTCAGTTCTGAATATGCGGGGATACCCAGAGTAGCATCTGTCTTCTAATCCAGATAAAATTTCTTAGGGTTAAAGCAGAAAAGGCTGCAGTGACTCCTTGTCTTTTATGGAAGTTGCCGGTGCTGGGAGAGGAGAGAGCCAGAGTTTGGAATGTAGTGGAGGGGTGACTGTGACTCCCTTTAAGACAACTAATTTAGCCTGAAGGGTGCTTAGAAGAGGGTGTTGGGGAAGACCATTTCCAGCACCAGTAACACCATGATCATGTAGGCAAGGCCTCCAAGGCATTGCCAGCCAGCCAGCGCAATGCAGGCCTGGGTAGAAGCAATGGCTGTATGTTGTTTTTTCACTGGTGGCAGATTGTGATACTGTGCTCTGAAATAGAGCTGGTGAAGCAATCCATGCAGTATAAGCAAACAGTTGAATGTGTGGATACTAAGGTGAGGGCAATGGGCAGGAAAAAGCCATAGGGAAGCAGAAAAGCTGTCATTTAGAAGACAAGTGTTCAGCTGCAGCTAATAGAACAGCAGTGTGGGAGGTAGCAGTTGTTGACCCCAGGTGGGATCAATTGTGGTAACGTGAGGAGGTATTTCACACTGCCAGGGTGGCTGTGGAGTTGTTTAGTCATTTAGGTAGATTTGTAGGTCTTAGTGTTCTTTTTCAGTAACACGTCAAATATTTTTTCAAGCTTCTTTTTAGGGGAATTACTGCTGTCTCTCTCTTTTTTTTTTTTTTTTTTTTTTTTCTTCTTCTTCTGCTTTACTATTGCTGCAGTTCCTCCTTGCTCTATTTACTTGTAGGCCACCAATTTAGGTTGGTTCTTTTAAACTCTCATGCAGATCTATCAGTTCTGACTGATAACTTCTATATGAAGTGTCTATGTTTATTTTGTATTAATAGGTGAATTGCATTTAGATAAACTGACAGATGTGTCTTAACTGCTATTCAAAAGTAGTTTTTACTTATTTTTCTTTTTCTCTTCCTTCAACATTTGCTTACATGTTTTTGTTAAATAGATACCTAGAAGCACTTACAGCTGTTTTCTCCAGGAGCTTGATATCCTTAAAATAATTGGTATGTAAATTTGAGTGGTAGAGGTCAGGGGAAATCATGCTCCTGATAAATGAGACATTGGTAGGACACAGAATATTTTAGTTCTGTTTAAGAAAATATGCCTTTTAATGAGCAAGAAAAACTTCAGGATCTCTTTTCTGCAGTGTCTTGTTATAATGTACAGTAAAGAGCATGAAGAAATGCTGAATAGAAACTTTTCCTTTCTGTTGTCTTCATCTAAATGCTTTTTATGCAGACGTTCTCATAAAATTTTTGGAGCAATGTATTCTAGCCTACTCAAAAAAAAAAAAAAAAATCACTTCAGAGATGAAATGCTTTAACTATTTACTGATATCTGTCATTCCCATTTTTAAAGCTGAGAGCTGAAACTTAAAGTGACCTTTACACTACTCATCAAAAAGTCTCAAGGATTAAAAGAGGTTTTTTGTTCCTACTGTGGCTTCTTGTGCAATTGCCAAGTCATGCCAACCTTCTGGCAATTTAGTAGCCCTCTACGTTGCTATTTCCTTAGAAAACAGTATGCTTGTTTTACGTCAAGCAGGCAGATTTACTAATAACTTATCCTTTTTCTACAGATGCAAGTAGTAACAGAGTTAAAAACTGAACAAGATCCAAACTGCTCTGAAACTGATGCAGAAGGGGTGAGTCCTGCCCCTGTAGAATCTCAAACTCCAATGGATGCAGACAAGCAGGCCATTTACAGGTAGTAATGGACTTGTGCTCTGTCTTTTGAAGGGTAAAGAACAGGAATTTAAAATTTTTTAAAAAATATATAGTCGTAGAAGGCAGCTTAAAAACAGTTTGTTTCTTGGCTATATGTTTTAGTAGCATTCAGGAAAAGGAGGAGATCAATTTAAATTCACTGTTGATTTTTAGCCAAAATATATTTAAATAAAAAAACAAACAAACAACAACAACAACAAAAAAACAATCTTCCTTTTATTATGGATTCATTCTAATCCAGCATAGTTTAAAGGAAGTTCTGAACTTGGCTGCTTTTAAGGAGTGATTTAGCATACTGTTCAGGCAGTTGAGCTGTGCTCACTGTAGATTATACTGTAGTTTTTATCTTCAGTGTGGGGTATTTTTTTAAATTGTAATTAGGTTAGTTTTTACTTGCTTTTCTTTAGGGATAGCAATCTACTGCCTAGTGATTGGCTCTAACTGGATTGAATGTTGATGTATAAACACAGTAATTTGAGATTTTTTCCCAGTGTTAAGTGTTGTGCTGATTAGTATTGTTCTCTTTTTTATGAGGTTAAGTGTTCTTTCATTTTTCTTCCATTTTAAGTGCTTTATAAAGGCATAACTATTGCCAGTTCACAGTTAATTTAAAAAAAAAAAAAAAATAGGAAGACATATCCACTCATTTTCAGACTTGTGCTGACAAAACCTGCTTTTGCTCTGAGCCATCCTAACCACTTTTACTGGAGGCCTCCAAGTACAGTCTCTATGCTATCACCAGTTCTGTACATTTATTTGTGATGAATAAGCAAAGCCCACATTGAAGAACAAATGGCTTTTATCTAAAATAAATGATTTTAGACTTCACAGAAAAACACATTTAAGTATGTATTCATCCTATTTATAAGTCTAAATCACTATTTCTAACGTGCTGTTTTTAACATATTTGTTGCCACTCGTTTACAGTAAATTATATAGTGTTTCATAGCTCTTTGTTTTGTGATTGTTCTGTTTATTTAGATATATTTATCTTATTGCTTTTCTCGCCTGTAGGTTGTGTGGTAATGGAAAAAGGAAAAACAAACTTTCATCATGTTCTGCTATAGCCAGTGGTGCTATTTGCAGTCTCATTTAAGACTTGTCCTTGTGTTTCTTAGGAGTGATTGTTACCCTGTGTGAGCTAGATACCTGACTTTTCAGTATTATAACTATAAGTGACAATATTTATTTTAACTTCTATTCTAGACACCCATTATTTCCGTTGTTAGCACTGTTATTTGAAAAATGTGAACAATCTACACAAGGATCGGAAGGCACGACTTCTGCAAGTTTTGATGTAGATATTGAAAATTTTGTAAGGAAGCAGGAAAAAGAAGGAAAACCCTTCTTCTGTGAAGATCCAGAAACTGATAATCTGGTAAGTATAAGCTGTTTCTTTCATGTCTGAAACAAGCATCATATTTGCCCCATTATTGTTTCATATCTCAAGTGGTGCTTGTAGTTTCTCCTCAGATGTTTCTTCGTACAAGGGATTCCTTTTTATGTTAATCCTGAGAAATAGCTTTTGAAATTATTTTTTTCCAATCCCTCTTTTTTTCCATCCTTATCTGTAAATTTTTATCAATCCCTTAATAGTTGCTTCTCATATGGCTTTCTAGACTGTCTGAGATCTATGTGTTGGGGATGATCAGAAATATGAGCTTGCCTTAGCCGGGCTCGCTCTGCAAATTAATGTTAAGGTGTCAAGCATGTAACCCGTGTTTAGGAAAAAAAGACATCAGTGTAAGTTTGTGGGTTTTTTTTTTAACTTTTTTTTTTTTTTTAATCAGGATTTGTGTAGTTAATGGAAGAGGTGTTATAAAATGAGCTTAGAGAATGTAACATACTGACTTTCTTCTTACATGCCGATGTCATCTTCATGTTTTCTGAAAGTCCATCAGAACGTAAATCTTCAGTTCTGAAGATTTTCAGGAAGTGATGAAGCTGTGATTTCTGTGCTCCCTTTGTCTCTTTTGAATCACGTTCCCTAGCGAAAAGCTCCCTTGCTATGCTTGTACTTAAACTATCAACCTTCTTGTCTTTGGAGTCAATTCACAACTCAATGTTATCATGTTTGAGAGCACTAGATTTACAAGGGTCATGTGTTAATCTGCAGGACTTTTAGTTTTGGAAGACTAGTTCCTTTAAGCAGACTGCAGTAAAACAAGTCTTTTTGAGTCTACCTCATAGGAGAAAAAGCTACATAAACAATTAAATTTCACAAAGCTAAACTGACAGTGGTTGTAAACAACATTCAGAAAAGGTATGTGTTTCATAGCTCTTATATAGAAAGATTTGTGTGTGCCTTTAAGAGTGCGTGTGGGAAACCAAGATACAACATACCTGGAGAAATCTTAGAATCAAAACCGTAACTTGATGAGAATAAACGTGAGATGCTCTTTAGAATTGTCAGAAGGGTTACAGTAAACAGCATATTAGAAGGTTAGAAGGTTTCATGACTGGATTATCGTTGTACTGCAGTTCTGGGAAATAATGTTTAAATACCATCATGGAAGGTGGAATTGCAGGAGTCTCTGTGTATAATTTGAACAATGCGAAAGGAAAGCAAGCAGAAGATAGTATATTTACAGTGAGGCAAGCTTTTACAACTCTGGATAAAGAGGCGTAGAAAGTTATGTTTTCAGCTACTTGTTATATACTTTTCACTGTAAGTTACAGTGCTGGGATGTAGATACACTAACATCTCATGTTAATGATTTCAATCTGTAAATTTAAAGTTTCGTAGTTTAAATCCTCTTTCAGGATGGATAAAGCTAACACAACTCACACTGCGCTAGCCCATCTTCAAGGATGCTTCTACAAGGCTCTCTTACCACTTGTGTTCTGGAACTGTTGATTATACAGAGACTTTTGTTTTCAGTTTGGAAACACTCTGAGGTTCAAATATGCCTTTTGGGTGGGAAAGTAGCTGAAGGAGAATGCATACTATGATACAAAACAATACTCTCAGTGTTAGTATAGAGGTTTTCAGTTTATAAATGAAGACTAGACATTGGCCCCTTTTACCAAAGTTTATAGCTATAACAGAACTGAAAGCCCCAACATTTCAGTTTTGTATCTTAATGATTAGATCTTTGTGGGCAAATTTTGATGCAGCTCACTTGAGAAATATTTACTGATAGAGACAATTATTTAGTAATCTACAAAGATACAAGTATTAACAGATACATAGAAACACAATTCCATGGATTAAACCCTATTGCAAAATGATTGTTGCCACTGCAGGAATTAAAAATAGAATAAAAAAAGAAGAAACGTTACAGCAAAAGGAAATAAATGATAATTCTTTTCTTTAGTTACTTTCCTAGTGTAAGAAACAGTGGTATAGCTTTTTATTGTTTCGATATTTTTTTTTTTAACTTGAAATGTCAGTGGTGTAACATTATATTTATGAAATACTTGTAGAGCGATGATTATTATATAAATGTAAGTAGAATATAAATGCTTCAGAACTATTATAATGACACAGCCTCTTCACATATGTGAAGAGTATCACTCTTCCACTAGGGTGCAGAAAGCTTTGGCAGGCAGCTATGGGCAGGCACTGGCTGCTACTACTATTTTTCAGATCATTCTTCAACAGGAAAGCATTCATGCGAATTAAAAGAAATATAGTGAATTGCTTCAAATGGGCCATTGCTTTCTGGAGAGGACTAAATACAAGCTGAAAATGACAAAATGATTAAATAAGGACTAAATAAATGGATAACAAGATGAACTGGAAAACTTACTGAACTGCTAGATTCAAAGAATTGCAACCAGCAACGTGAAATCCAGTTGAAGGCCAGTCATGAGTGGTGTACTCCAGGGACTGATACCACGACCAACATCATTTAACATCTTTGTTAATCACTTGGAGGGTGGGATAGAGTGTACCCTCAGCAAGCTGGAAGGTTGTATGAAATTAGAAGTGACTGGTGAAAGGGAACTGGGCCACCCTTCACAAGGACTGTGATAGTTTGAAAAAAAAGTAGGGCAGCAAAGAGTCTGAAGGAGAGCTCTGCAAAAGGAAATGCCAAATCTGAGGAGAAATAATTCCATGTACACGTTCACGCTACAGGTTGACCAGTTGGAAGGCTTTGCAGAAAAAGGACCTGACTGCCCTGATGGACACCAGATTGAATATGAGCCAGCAGTGAATCACTGCAGCAAAAATTTCAATGTACCTGGGCTGTATTGTGGAAAATGTTGCTAGCAAGTCAAGGGAGGTGATTCTTTCCCTCTGTGAGCTTTGTGCATCTGGAGTGCTAAATACAATTCTGAGCTTCTCGCTATTAGACACAGGGTAATGGAGTGAATCTAGCAAGAGACCGTGAAGATAACTAATGGACTTGAATGCATCTTGAAGAGATGCTGAAAGCTGAGACTGGCTAGCACGGAACAGAGAAGACTTGGGAAAGAGTTGTAGGAGACAAAAAAAAAAAAAGTCATGGTTTTTTTGTTTTTTTTTTTCCAGTTGTGCCCAATGAAAGAGCAAGAGGAAGTAGATACGAGTCAAACCACAGTAGATTACATTAAAGCCTGAGGAAAAAACAAAAACGCTTCTGCTATAAGGGAGACTGAATATTGGAGCAGGTTGCCCAGAGAGGATGTGGAATATCCATCCTTGGAGACAGTCAAAACCTAACTATGTAGGACCCTGGGCGACCTGCTGTAGTTGCTTCACAGGGGAGCTGGATGAAAGAATTGCCAGAGATGTCTTCCAACCTCAACTACTTTGTGATTCTGTGAGCCTTCAAAGGTCATTTTCCCAAATATCCTGCATGTCTTAGCCTGCTTCATATGCTTTGTCGTAGATAAGTGTTCTCTTCAGATCTTGCTCACACTGGTGTAGATGGGTCTGCTCTGTTCAAATAGTACTACCTCCTGACTGACCTGTTTGTGACTTCAGTGGTGACAAAGTCTATTATGTGGTATTTACTATTACTGATGGGCTTCGTAAATCTGGTTGACTTTGCTTGAAATGGGTGAGGAAGTACTTGTTTATGTCTCGTGTCCCATGGCCACTGAGATCAGTGCTGTCTGAAACTGGAACCACGTTGCAAAATCAGCTTATCTTTGGCATTGAATTCCTGATGTATAGTCACATTGTTAGTGATGACTTTCTGTTACTAGATACCAAATGTAAGCTGAGTGTGACTTTTCCTCTGCAGAGGGCCAGGGTCTCTGCGTTAGCTGATGTTCTGACAGGCGGTTCAAGGGCAGTGAGTAGAGGACAGAAGAGTTTCTGTCAAGTTTTGAAATATCTAGTGTGTTCTTCAGACTCTTCTTCTGCTTGAAATACTGATGGTTGGATAGAGAAGACTGTAGCTGGATTTAATGGCAGATTTTTCTCCATTGTGTCACATAAATATATATGTTTTTACATGGATTAAAAGCCATTTTTGTATAGATTAAAAATTACGTTGTAGTAGAGAGGGGCTCTAATATGGGGCATCTTTGTGATACCTTTTTGCTGTACTTCCCTTCTTGACTCTAACAATAAATAAACCATTTGCTTGAGAGGACAATCTAGCAGAGACTGAAGGGTGAAGCAAGTAGGCCAAGTAATTACTGGTTGTCCAAGTGTGTTCTTATCTCACTGCAGCAGAATCAAATAAGTAAGATGTATATGTTTGCTTAGTAGCAATCATTCAGCTTGGAGCCAGAACTAAACTGAGATGAACTGAGCATTACAGTGCTATAAAGACTCACTGAGGTCTTATCAGAACAAGAGTTGCAGGCCTGCCTCAGGTAAGGAAATGAGTCACTTACTCAGCTGATTTATTTCTTTTCCTTTTTTTTGGTTTTTTTTCCCCCCAACCCAACTGCTCCATGTAGGCTTTGTGACAGAGCTTTAAGTCTATGGTTCCAAAGTGGCAGAAACTAATTTCTGTGTTTCTGCCAGCCTTAACAGTTTTCATTTTAAGGATGTTCCTGGCCAGTATATATTGCTAAGTCTGGCTTCTCAACCAAGTTTCTACCCTTTTTGATTATTTAAGGGGTGAGATTCCATTCTTTAATCTTCATTACTAAGCTGTATAATCTTCATTACTAAGCTCTAACTTCTGATTAGTCCTGAAGAGATCAGGCAACTAGATTATCTTTGGAGGTCCGGTTGAACTATTCTATTCGTTCTGATTAACCACACAAACAGCTTCAGTTGGTAATCTTAAAACTTCATGGCAAAGGGTTATGATCAACAAAAAATAGTAAAAGGTCTAGAAACACTAGGCCTTTTATTTTTGTAGTGTCTTGCCCATTAAAGACTTTATCAGATGCGTTGTCAGAAAGGATTTCTGGCACTGAAATAAATGGGAGCATTTCCATTAATATTGATGGCTTCTGGATTAGGTCAAATTTTGACTTTTGGCCTGA